CGGACAGAATATTCACCGGAGCTCATGTTCTCCCAATGTGCGCTCCCTCCAGTCGTAGATGACCAATTTAAAATTTCTTCCTTTATTTCACTATTTCAGTTTATGTACTTTATTGTACATTTCATTAACTTCAAAATCAACCAACTCAACGTTCTTCGAAATTAAAACAAGTGATACACGACACAAGTAACAAACCGTTGTTCAAAGTTCAATGTTCAAGGTTCCGGGTTCACGTAGCACAAATTTACAAACACGGGAACGAACACGCCCTCTTCTCGAGTCTCAAAGTTCAACGTTTCCCACAAGCTAAAATTCTTTCGTACGATATTAAAATACCACGCCTGCAATAAGAACTCAAAATCAGCCTCGCTGACATGCAAAACTAACTAAATAGTCAACACACAAAAAGGCCCTTAACGCGACGTCACAACTCAACATTAACTTCCAAAAACAATCAACCGGGCCACGCCCTAGAAATGGAATGCGAGCATCAAATTTGTAGGCCGTCTGTCCACTCGGCGTGCGCGCAAGGTTCCGTCACACAAGCAAACTAAATACTGCAAAATGCACTTTAACATGCAATCACTATACAAATTGACGTAAATCACTTGCAAACGAAGTTACTTTTAATCACTCAAATTCAAGAACCAAACGCCTCGTCGTTACGTAAACGTACTACCAAACCAACATGAATTAGAGACTTCCTTTTGCATGCGACCTCGCGGTTCTAATAAAGCAAAACGACAGTAATTAATGTCTATAATTAACCCACATTTTCAAATCAAAGCACCGACCGCTCGCAACCTACTCACGGTAGCAACAGATAAGTCGACAATGCCGCGGCGTTCAATGCACTGGTATTTACTTCCGACACGCCCCGCTCGCAACCAACTGCGCTCGCGCGAACGTCAAACCGGTACGAATGCACCGCGCTGAGCACCCTCTGGCGTCAATTCTTGAAATTAGCGTTTGGCGCGAACATGTATTTTATTATTTAATATTTCGTATAATTATATTACCCCGATTTTCATTTTCAATGATGGTGACATTTCGTTTTCTATCTCTTTATATCTCTCTCTCTCTCTCTTTATCTTAATTTATGGTGGGTAGTTTATGGTACTATCTAAAAATCTAAATATCTACTTTTTCCAATTATGATCATTATTATAAACTAAGTAAAAAATATAATAGATAACCAACCTGTCAGCCCATCTCCATAACTTCATGCAAGTTTTGCACGACCCATACTTCATCTCTAGCTTACGTTACAGTGACCGGCGGCCACAGTCGAGTGTATGCCTACTGTAGTACTCCGCCCTGCTCGTAAACCATAGACTTAGTATCTTATAGACTAAACATTCAGTGACGTCATCAGCGTGTGAAAATAATGCACGTATATAGTTAGACATAAGGGTAAGGCAGAAGCAAAACTATAATTCTTGTCTTTTTCTAGGTAAGCGTTTTGGATTGTTTTTCGTCAGTTAATTGACATAATTGATGTCAAGCTTTTGTAAATTCATTTATATTTTAAGTAAATATGTAATTGAATTTTGTGTTTTTTTTTGTGGGTTTTAGATATTAGACAAGTAAGATGAAAACGGTGGTAAGTTGTAGCATTTTAGGGTGTAATAGCATAAGTCAACGAAACATTGATAATATTACATTTCATCGGTAAGTTTGTTTTGTGTTTACATTTGCTTGCAGTATTGATTAATATCTATTGTTTTGAATATAAAATGTAACATTTTATGTTTTTAATGTCCTTGGTGATGTATTTTGTCATATATTTGGACTCCCAAATTGTAAGTTCTTCATGATAATGCTCCTTAAATTAAACGGTCATGCGAAAGCTTTAAGTCATGACAAACGTGTACATTTTGATTTGGTAGGATCATGGAAACTTTAGCTGATATCCATCAGCGAGTACAATTGATATTTCCCATTGTTCAATAATAATTGTTATTTTAATTAGTAGCTTTGTTCATATATGAATGACATAATGTTATACAAATACATACACTTTTATGTTCAGCTTTAAAGGAAACACTCCTTATTGCCATAAAACTCTTCAATCATTTTCTATATTACATAGAAGTCACAAATATTATGTAAGTATCAACATTTCTCAAAATATACATTGCCTGAAATCAGATAGACAAAACTTTATTGCATTCCATTAATTCTATTATACTATTATTATTTAGAAATAAATAAATATGTCAGACTTATATAATTATCAATATAAATATAGATAAAATAAATAAATAAGTCTTAATCTTAAGGTACAAAATAACACAACAACATAAAATAATATTCTCAAATAATGATGTAAAAAAAATTGATAATAATATATTAACAGTTACCATTAGTCATTATCAAAAGTGAAAAGTTATAGATTTTGTGATAGTTGCCTCGCTTGGCAGGAGGATTGGGTACTGCAGTTATTTTGCAGACAAAATATGAGGGAGGTCCATGTTCAGCTGTGGAGGACATTCGTTAGGCTGTAAATGTATTAATGAACAATATCTAACGCTTAATATGTACGTATTATTTTAAAATGTTTGTTATGAATAATATTGTTGCGCGCCACTATTAATGTCTTGTACATGGCAACACTAGTTACACTAGCGCCCTCTAGTGTCGAGTAGCAGAACTAGGAGAGTCAAGATCCTTCCAGAAATTGGGGGACCGATATGTACTCGAACATTCTAGATGTCGCTACAGTAGAATATTCTGGAAACTACCTGAGGCCCTATATAAGGCCGGTATAGACCACGACCGCGGCAGTATTGAATTGGCGATACAAGAGAATACTTCGAAGTGAAATAACGGCGAACTGTGTTTTATTATTAGTGTGATTTTAGATTGTAATTATTGTTGTGTAATTAAAGTGTCAATTTTGGTAATTCAATCGACAGTTTTTAATTGCCTCGAACTCCAAGCTCGTAACAATTGATGTCAGAAGTGGGATCAAATCATGCCGATTTTACCAAAGGACCACATGGAGGGTATGCGTACCCGAAATCAACCCCAGCTGGAGGCGGACCAGAGACGATTTGGTAATGCAACGCCGCAAACGTCGGAGGGCCAGATGCTGGCCACAGAGGCCGGCCCGTCAGCAGCTCCTGCATCTGCAGCACCTGACTTAGGTGCTCTGGTGATGATGTTGCAGGATCAGGCTCGCCGACACGAGGAACAGGCCCGCCGACAGGAGGAACAGGCCCGTCGGTTGGAAGAGCAGCTGCAGCGCGGACAGGAGGAACAGGCCCGCCAACAGGAGGAACAGGGCCGTCGGTTGAAAGAGCAGCTTCTTCTCATGAAGGACCTTCACGCTACCTTCGGGAAAGAGATAAGGGAGGTGACGGATAGGGTTGCTCAACACGACAACCGCCTGTCGGAAGCTGAAACCCGAATCGACCAAGTGAACAATCGGGTTGACAACGTGATGGTTGACGTAAAGAAAACGCTGAACGACCTAAGAATTGGGGATGGAGTTACAGCTCCCGTGGTAGCTACAACACCTTCGCTACGTGGATTCAAAGTACCACCATTCGACGGGACTTCTTCCTGGTCGGCCTACAAAATCCAATTCGAGGCTGTCATGAAGGCGAACGGCTGAAGTAAAAGTCAGGCTATGACTGCTCTCACCCTAGGCCTGCGTGACCAGGCCTTATCTGTTCTGGGAGCTCTCGATAAGGAAGTGACTTACAAGCAGCTCCTTGAGGCATTGGAGGCGTGATATGGTGATGCTCACCTGGAACACGTCTTTCGTGCACAGCTCAAAGATCGCGTGCAACGCAGTAACGAAAACCTGCAGCAGTGGGCCCTTGAGATGGAGAAACTGGTTCGAAAAGCATACCAGTCTGTACCTGCGCACATTGTAGGAACCTGGTGCAGACATTCATCAACGACACCCGCGACCTTGAAGTCAGAGCTGCTGTGCGGCTCGGGCACCACGAGACGCTTAAGGACGCCTTGACCCATGCACTGGAGGTGGAAGCTGTGCGGCAGGATCATCGTTCCCACCACGTCAGGGAGGTTGCAGCAGCTACAGTTCGGGACCGCAATAACGGCTACAGCCCTAGGTGCTACGGCTGTGGCGAAAGGGGCCATCTTCGATCCAGCTGCCTTAAACGAACTGTAGAAAGGGAAGGAAGGAATCTCGAGAGGGTAGTGTGGCTAACAGCACCGCCCAGCAACAGCAGGGAAACTGGCGGGTGCTGGCTGATGTTAAAAGAGCCCCAAGGATTTCGATTTCACAAACCCGTGATGGAAACAGCCTGATCATCAAGGGAGAGGTCAATGGAACACCGTGTAAACTGACCATAGACACTGGAGCCTCTCGCACGGTTGTCAGTTCACAACTTATTAGTCAGTTCCTTGGGGACTCCGCATACAACCGCGAACGCATTAATTTGGTGACAGCCACCGGTCAGCGCATACTTGTTCGTGGAGAGAAGGAGATGGAGTTGATGCTAGGCAACATGATCTAGCTGCATAATGTCATCGTGGCTGATAAAATGGACGACTACATCCTGGGCCTAGACTTTATGAGGAAGAATTGTTGTGAGATCGACGTTAAGCAAGATGTTTTGAAATGTGGACAAGAGGAACTTTTCGTGGAAGGGGCGTTACCAGGGAATGTGTACAGCCTTAAGAAGATTTTTCTTCCGCCGAGATCGAAAACGATTGTGCCGGTTAGTATTCCTCGGAATCCTGGGCAAGCTCATCGTTGTGTACTCGTGGAAAGGGTAGACAATGACCTTCCATGAAAAGTGGCTGGAACGTTGGTCAGAACTACCGACATCTCAGGAGTACGTGTGTAGAACCTTTGTGATCAGGAACAGATTATAGAAAAAGTCACATTGGTTGGTACAAGTGAGGAAGTGGATTGGTTGTGTCGGTGTGAATATCTATCGACTGGGACCCCTAGCAAGGATGGACAAACGAGAATGACCACACTTTTAGAAGACTGTCGCAGCGTTCTCTCCCCGAATGAAATGGTCAAGGCGAAGAAGTTGTTACTCAAGTACGCCAATGTTTTCTCGTCAAATGAAGCTGACATAGGAAAAACTGGCTTAGTTCAACACAAAATAAACACAGGACAAGAATTGCCTATTCGTCAGCGGCCAAGGAGATTGTCTGTAGCACGTGAAAAGGAAGTGGAAACCATGATTGAGGGAAGGGTGAAGGATGGTGTTATTGAACCTTCATCTAGTCCATGGTGTTCACCTATGATGCTGGTAAAGAAGAAGGATGGCAGCATGCGGTTTTGTGTTGACTACCGCCGCCGTGAACGACGTTACGAAGAAGGACAGCTATCCCTTGCCAAGAATTGATGACACGCTGGACATGCTTACAGGCGTAGTGGTTTAGTACGCTGGACCTGAAAAGTGGCTACTGGCAGGTTGAAATAGACCCTAAGGACAAGGAGAAAACTGCATTCTCCACAGGAAAGGGTCTGTGGCAATTTAAAGTCATGCCGTTTGGATTGTGCAATGCTCCAGCAACGTTTGAAAGGTTGATGGAGCTTGTACTTACCGGGCTAATTGGAGATGCCTGTCTCGTCTATTTGGATGACATCATCATCGTAGGCCGTACGTTTGAGAAACACCTTCAAAACCTGGTACGCGTTCTTATGAAGATCCAGAGTGCCAACCCCAAGTTGAGTCCGAAGAAGTGCTCACTATTCAAACGGCAAGTTAGTTTTTTGGGGTATGTAGTGTCGGAGGAAGGTATCTGCACGGATCCAGAGAAAATTGCTGCTGTCAAGGAGTGGCCGGTTCCAAAAGACAAGACACAGGTTAGAGCATTTTTGGGTTTGTGCTCTTATTATCGGCGATTTGTGAAGAACTTTGCAGATATAGCCAAACCTCTGCACAAGCTAACCGAGGAGAAGCGACATTTCTGCTGGGATGAAAGTTGCGATATTGCATTCCAGGAGCTCAAGAACCGTCTGTGCAAAACACCTATTTTGGGGTACCCTGATGTGGGCATGGAATTCATAGTTGACACAGACGCTAGTGATATAGGACTTGGCGGTGTGTTGTCTCAACGGAATGGTAATCAAGAGATTGTAATAGCGTTATTCAGCAAGTCGTTGTCAAAGCCGGAAAGGAACTATTGTGTCACAAGACGGGAATTGCTTGCTGTGGTAAAGTCCTTGCAGCATTTTAGCAAATATCTTCTTGGGCGGAAATTCCACTTACGAACTGACCATGCTGCACTGGAATTTTTGCTATTGCAGTTCAAAAATCCGGAAGGACCTTGTAATCGAACATCGCAGCGGGAAATCTCATGGCAATGCAGATGCATTGTCAAGAAGACCTTGCCCTGAAGATTGCAAGCATTGTACTAGGCAAGAGGGTAAGGAAGTGGTATCTGTAAGGATGCTCAGGACAGACCAGCACAGCAATGAGTGGAAGGACAGCCTACAACATGCACAGCAGAAAGATTCGGACATGAAGCCGATTCTGGAATGGATGAAGGCCAGTGCTCCTAAACTCAAGTGGAGCGACGTCTCAGCAATGAGTTCGACCACGAAAAGCTATTGGGCCCAATGGGACAGCTTGCTGATTCAGGATGGAGTCCTGTGCTGTAAATGGGAAAATGGTCGGGGAGACAGTTGTCATTTACAAATGGTTGTCCCTAAGGCTAAAGTACCGGAAGTTCTACAGCTGTACAATAGTGGTTGTTCAGGAGGCCACCTAGGAGTTAAACGAACTCTACTCAAGATCCGAGAACGGTTTTACTGAGTCCACTGTCGTGACGATGTCGAGGACTGGTGCCACAAATGTATAAGTTGTGCGGCTTGTAAGGGACCTCAAATTCGTAGTAGAGGCGCATTGAAATTTTACAATGTTGGTGCACCATGGGAGAGGATAGCCATTGACGTTGCGGGGCCGTTTCCGGAAAGTGAAAGTGGTAAGAAGTATTTCATGGTTGTGATGGATTACTTCACTAAGTGGCCAGAAGTCTTCGCCATTCAAAATCAATAAGCTTTAACAGTTGCAGATAAACTAGTTCAAGAAGTTTTCTGTCGTTTTGGAGTACCCTTAGAGATTCACATAAGGAATTTCGTGTCTCAAATATTCCAGGAAACTTGCAGAGTTATGGGTACTCATAAAACACGAACAACTTCTTACCACCCACAATCTGATGGAATGGTACAACGATTTAATCAGACATTGAAAAGGTACCTGGCAAAAGTTGTGGAAAAACGGCAACGAGACTGGTACAGGCACATACAACCGTTTTTGTTGTCATATCGAAGCGCTGTTCACAAAAGTAAATCAGTGACGCCAGCTTTCGCAAACTTTGGGAGAGAATTACGGCTGCCTGCAGACCTGATCACCGGAATACCACCTGATGCCCCACGAAGTATAACCGATTATGCAAATGACTTGCGGAACAAAATGAATGACATTTATGAGCACGTCAGACAGTCGGCCCAGCAAACGTCTGAGAAGATGAAAATACGGTATGACCGCAAAATGAACAACAAAGGGTTTGACGAAGGTTCACTAGTGTGGTTACACAATCCAGCTCGCAGCAAAGGGAAATCTCCTAAGTTTCAAGCTAAATGGGACGGACCGTACCGAATTGTGACAAGGATCAATGACGTAACCTACCGGATACAGAAAGGTGCCAGAGGTACTCCTAAGATCGTCCATGTGGATCGAATGGCGCGTTATTATGGGGCCAATAATGCTCGGGACGAGCATGTCTTAGGAGGGGGCAGTGTTGCGCGCCACTATTAATGTCTTGTACATGGCAACACTAGTTACACTAGCGCCCTCTAGTGTCGAGTAGCAGAACTAGGAGAGTCAAGATCCTTCCAGAAATTTCGGGACCGATATGTACTCGAACATTCTAGATGTCGCTACAGTAGAAGGTTCTAGAAAATATCTGAGGCCCTATATAAGGCCGGTATAGACCACGACCGGAGCAGTATTGAATTGGCGATACAAGAGAATACTTCGAAGCGAAATAACGGCAAACTGTGTTTTATTATTAGTGTGATTTTAGATTGTAATTATTGTTGTATAATTAAAGTGTCAATTTTGGTAATTCAATCGGCAGTTTTTAATTGTCTCGAACCCCAAGCTCGTAACAATATTATCATTACATTTACATATACCTGCTATTTAATAAAATCAATTGATATTGTATTGATTGTTATATATTATTTATGCACAGATATTCATATCCGATTTTTTTTTTGGTAAATACCTTGATATAAAAGTGTACTATATATTTAATATATTAATTTCTTTTAAACATATTATTTTACAGCTTTCCGAAGGAATCAGCTATCCGTAATTGTTGGATAATCGATAATGGTTGTGATTATAGGTAACTAACAAAAGTTGCGCAAAACATTTTGAGCCTCATTGTTTTAGGACCGATTAAATATGCTTAATTTATATAATTTATAATATAATTAAGATATATTTTAAAATTTTATAATTTCTTGTTGTATCTAGTTGTTCTCCATAAGTGATAATATATAATATACATGTAAATTAATACACATTGACCTTGTTGGTAGTTATGATTATTACATTGTTCTGCATGTATTAAAAATTGACTAGCATTGCTTAATTTATTTATGGTAGTTGCAATTTTATTTTCAAATGCTGACATTCTGTATTATTATGACTTGTAATAATTTATTTGTAATTTATATTTATTTGATTGCATCATTGCATGACAATGACAAAATATTTACTTATAGATAGATTTATTAAACATGAATCCTCATTTAAAAATGTAGGAACTTTATCTGTACCACCATGTTTTATGCAAATAAAGATTTAAATAAAGTAAATAAATAAATAATTTGAAGTCCTGACCTTAATATCCAAATTAATAATTTATTATGCAATAATAATTGTAAAACTGACTCTGAGAATGCCTACCAATGAGACATTTAGTCCACCCTTTGTAATCCCTTATATATATATATATATATATATATATATATATATATATATATATATACTATATAGTATCATTATATAGTATTTATTCCCTTCTAATCCAATTCTAACAACCAGCACCCAAGAATTTCTGCCATGCAAAAGTATAAATCAAGTTTATTCTTAAACTACTCAAGCCAAGAATTACAACAAAATGCTCTAGAAAGAAGAAAAGAATTTTATTGATTTTGTTGTTTCTTAATCTGATGAAAAATTAATAAATAATCGTTTATTTATTTTAATTTAATTGAATTATCTTTAATATATAATTGTGTTTTCATTTGTTTTACTTAATGTAACATTGTTAATATTTCTACATGTTGTGTAAGTACACAAAATTTAAGTTCTTTTTACTTCATAAATTTCAACTTATTTTCATTTAAATAAAATATATATGTATATATATAGTCTATCAAAATCCCACTGTTGAAAGTAAACATGAACATAGTTATTTCCAATAGTTGCAACTCTTGGCAAGCGGGTTGGCAACCACTGTTTTTTTTTATTTTTATTTAGCTGTTATTAGGAAAATGCTGCTGTTTATCTTCTTTTTTTGTTTCCCTATGTCCCTTATACACGCTCCATAGAATGATATGAGGTAGCAGATAATATTACACTGCATGGTAAATTAAAATAGAATATTATAAAACATACGTTTTTATTTTATAAACCAACATATTACAAAAACAAATCATTTGTTGATGCTCTACAACGTATATTAACAAAAACATTTTACTACCTTAACCATTAGGTAACATGATTAAGTTACTTAAACATAAGTAAGTCATCTAAAAAGGCATTCCCCTAGATATATATATATATCCTTATAGGATGACTTTTGCCATAGTTGCCACGCCTGCGTGAAAATATGTGTTATACTAGTTGGCACCGCAGTTTTTTTATTATTTTAAGTTTTCATCAGGAAAGTGCTCCTGCCCCATCTGTTTTATTATTGCTTACGATGCGTGGTAGTATCATCCCGTGTAAAGACAAATTCTCTTGTACGCTACAACATGCCGCACACAGGCCACTAACTTAGTAAGAAATGAGAACCGTATTTTGTTTTGTAAAACCTAAGTGGAAACCGTTTCCTTGCGGACGTCTGTTTTCAGCACTGAAATTTGTAAAAACAACTTAAAACTCGAAACGAGGAAATTTTTGATTTTTGCTGTCGCTGTCAGAAGCTATCGAAATCCAAAGAGTTTAATGATTGTCTACTAAAATAGTCAATGCGCCATTGAATACCGAATGATGATTCTGCTTTTATGCCATTTCCGCCCGATGTTTTTAGTTACAAAATGTATTTTCAAAAGAAACTAATTAATCATCTGAATTATAAAAGATCATTTTTTTATAGT